CCCCCCCCCTGCGGCCCCTCCCTCCTCAGCCCCTCCCGGGGGGCGGAGTAGCCATCGAAGCCCACGTCCTCGGGCCGCAGCTGCAGGAGCGGGTTCCAGTCCCCGGGCGGGGGGGTGGAGGACCACGGGTAGGTGTCCACCACCCAGGCAGCCGGGTCCTCCCAGGGGGCCCGCCGCCCGTACAGCTGGGGGGGGGGCAGGGGGGGGATAAAGAGAGAATTAGACTGGTTTTTAACCGCCAATAACTCGTAACGTGGTGGAACCGGTTCAGAAAACAGCAGAACCTCTACATACAAAAGTTAAATATTCATATGTTGGTTCAAATATTCCCATAGGAACACACTAGAATTCCCATCATTGGTTCCACAGCCCAAAAAACTACGATAACTCCTTAATAAATAATGCAGTTAATCACACATAAAAATAAATAAATTATAAAGAAATAATCAAAATGTTTTTTTTATCGGCACTTATTGGTGAACGGAGGTAGAGGTGGAGACAGAGATACAGGACGTACCCTAACTTACTCTAACTTTCACTACCTGAACTTTGAACTAACTTAGCTTATTTATTTATATTTAATCTTTATATATATATATTTTTTTTACTTGACTTCGGGTGTCGAGTCGAATAACTGATCGAATTTCACTTCGGATGTTGGAAAATTGGTGTGTTTAGCCGATGGTGAGCAGAGTTTCTGCTGTGCTCTGCTTATCTTACAGGGGTTATTTGAGCTGCAGTGGGGGGGGGGTTCTCACCTGCAGCCCCTCGCGCACGGCCTCCAACATGTAGGGCACGATGGAGTAGTTCCAGAGATCAGTGAACCAAACCCGGGACCCCTCCACGTCCATGGGACACGACAAGAAGAGACGAGGCCCTGCGGAGCACGGGAGGTTAAACACATATATATATATATATATCAACAAAGAGGAAGACTGAAGCTTGAATTGAAGCTGAGCTTGGGAAGCTGAGCTCCATTTCCAGTATCTCCATTACAATTTGAATCTCCCTCTTTCTAACAAGCTAACAGTCTTTCCCCTGTGAATCCCCCTGGCAGCTGGGTGTAGCTGACCCCACCCCTGCTTACCGACGGTGACGTCGGAGGAGCTGTGGGTCTCCAGGAAGCGGTTGAGGTGGTGCCAGACCCGCGGGACCCAGTCCACGATCTTGACCAGCTGGGCGCTGCGCGTCCGGCTGCAGATCTCCGTCTCCAGCAGCTTCCTCCTCAGGAAGCGGCCCAGGAAGCCCTTCACCGGCTCCATGTGGTTAGCACACAGGACCCACCTGACGGGGCAGGGCCAAAACAACACGGGGAACAGGTCAGAGGCCGCCGCCACCGGGGGGCCAGGACAGTTCCAGGACAGTTCTGGGACAGTTACAGGACAGTTCCAGGACTCTGGCTCTTAACCTTTTTTGAGGTACCGAAACCACCTTGATTCATTTGTGCTTCACTGAGCCCTTCTATAGTGATAAATAAAAAATAAAACATTTCCAAATTCATAGGTATGTGGATGAACTCAATGCATTAACTCACATCAAATTACCGGATTACTTTATTCTGGACCGCCCAAAATGTTTTAAAACTATTTTAATAATTAAAAATAAATATGGATTTTTTTAAAAAGGCTTTAACATATTTTAATAACTGTATTTTTTTGCATTTCCATGCAGCTTTAAGAAGTCTTCCTTTAGTTTTGCTGGTGTGAGACTAGACTTGGTGAACTCGTTTACACCAGCGTGTACCTGTCCGGTCTGGCGGAGTCTTTACCTCTGCTGCAGAGGCTCATGGAACCCCCCCCACACACACACAGGTTAAGACCCACTGATCTGGAAGCTTACCGGAAGTTGTGGTGGAGCTGTAGGTTGGGGGCCGAGGACGTGGCTTGGCTCATGGTGCCGATGATGTAGGGGCTGAAAGGGCAGACAAACACTTAGTCATCAGGTCTTAGAGCCACTGCACATCATTCCCAATCCCTCTCCACCCTTTTCTTTCTAAGCTTTATAAGGATATCTACATCTGACCAAATATTCCTTTTGCAGATCCCCGCGTGTGAATCAGAATCAGAAATACTTTAAGAAACCCAGAGGGAAATTATTTTAATTGTGAATAATAATATTAATACTAATAATAGTGAACTGACCAGTGCTGGCTGTTGCAGTTGAAGAGTCCGTTGAAAATCTCCCCCAGGGAGCTGACGTGGTGCAGGTTGTCCAGAATGACCACCAGGGGGCAGTCTGCGGCCGGGCGCCCGCCGCACTGCTCCGCCAGACCGGACAGGTACTGACGGAGCTCCTGCTGGGGCAGATGTTACACAGCTAAAAATGCTGCTCAGCAATTAGCATTTTACATTTTTATCTATTATTTTATCATTGTTTTAAGTGTTTGTGAATTTTATCTCAATTGGTTATTTTCATTTGTCAGTGTTTGGTTGGTTTTTCATGTGGAAATGTGCTTTTCTGGGCCTCCTGGGCTTCTGTAGATGTACTGTACTGTAGCTGTACTGAAAAATACAGTTATTTTAGTCGTTTTTTCATTAGAAATTGAGTCATTTATGTTAAAATCTAGTATGTATATTGTTCTCTGTTTCATACTTTATGTTACCAAGCTCTTTTTGTGTTGTTTTATCTGTCAATATAAGTTTAATAGATGTTTTTAGGTTTGCGTTTTTGGCGCGAATTTTCCTGATGTGTTATTGCTAGTAATTGCTAGCATTTCATATATTAACACAGCATGTTGCATGTTTAGGAGCAGAGGTGCAGAGTGTACTTCTTTATGTCCGATCACACATCCGTTACACACACAGGCCTCAGTTTGTTCTCCATCCAGTCCCCTCCTCACATTTGAGTAATTACCACCTTAACTGTCCAAGCGTATGAAAAGTGTGCGTTTTTATGACTGGACGCTACAAAAATAAACTAAAGAGTGGAGAAGCCGGGTGTGCTTACTTTGCTGGATTTGTGGTCCACGTTGAAGGTGACCACAGCGTTGGGGGTCAGAGGCCGGCCCTCCAGCAGCAGCAGGTGTCGGGACAGCTGCGTGGCCAGGTAGGTCTTCCCCGTGCCGCTGGGCCCTGAGAGGATGAGCCGGCGGTGCTCCCTCAGCAGGGAGGTGTAGCGCTGCAGCATGGGCTTCGGGATCAGCGTGTCGAACACCAGAGAGTCCACGTTCTCACTGCTGGCACCTGGACACACGCACGGGTCAGAGGGAGGAGTTTGAACAAACCATTTTTACTCCTCTGTCAGCAGGAAACAGGACCACATCAGTCCAGTTCTCAGGTCTCTGCTCTGGCTTCCGGTCACTCAGAGAACAGACTCCAAAACAGCTCTGCTGGTGTTTAAGTCTCTTGATGGACAAGCACCGAAACCCCTTTCTGACCTGTTAGAGCCAGATGAACCAGCTGGACTCTGAGAACCAGGTTCTGGTTACCTGCTGGGGCCCAGAGTCAGAACTAAACAAGGAGAGGCTTCATTTCAGCTCCATGCTCCTAAAATCTGGATCAGTCTTCCTGAAGATGTAAGACAGAACCAAATCCTGAATGTTTAAATCCAGGCTGTTTAACCCTTCGATTTTTTTATAAAATGTTTCTAATTGTTTATTTTTTTTTATTTTTTCAGTTTTTCTGCTTTTAAATTCTCTGTGAACCACTTTCAATTGTCTTGTGCATGAAACGTGCTATACAAATAAACTTGCCTTAAAGGAAAGACTCTAGCTTTTTATTGCTTAGCTTAAAAAACCCAGAATGTTACTCTACAATGATGAAAACAAGCCCAGGGAAAGATTTTCAGCAGCACAGACGGGCACCAGATTCATTTTCTTTGTGGCGTTTAGCAGGGTTATCGTTTTCCTGTTCTTGAGAGTGAGCCTGCGGTACCTTTGAGCTGGATGTTGATGGTGTTGTCTCCCACCAGGTAGCCGCAGGGCAGCAGCTCGGGGGTGCTGGCCGCGCCGGGGCTGCCCGGCCGGTGGACCTCCCCGATGTCGTAGCCCTGCACGCTGTCCGTGCTCAGCCCCAGCTGGCTCACCGGGTCCACGTGCGTGATGTACTCCTGTCCAGAGAGGAGGCCCCACTTTTAGCCGCTTCATTTCCTTCTGCTGTCATTAGATTTTCTTTCACAGACACAAACCGTATTGTGCAATTACACCAAATCAAATGAACAGAGGAAGCCGGTGTGGCACTCCTATCTTTAGGAAACTCTTAAAGACCCCCCACTCAGAGAGCACCTCCTATCCTCTGTACCCCCCTACTACTCTTTCTGAACTTCCTTCTCTCTCTCTTGCTGCCACCACTGATTCAGATTTTCCTCTAGAGAACTTATTGTCATGTTGAAGATTACTGTTAAATTGTGTCTACTTTGTAAGTTGCTTTGGATAAAGGCGTCTGTAAATGCATAAACAGAAACTTCTGGGAATTTGTATCCGTAATCTTGCCTTGAAAAGGCGCCGGACCACTCCATCCAGGACGTCCCACTTTGTTTTTCCACTCACACCGATGCAGCCAATCAGAAAACGGCGAGGATGACCCTCCTGCAACAAGAGAACGTCACACGCTTTAAAATCCAAAAGCCCCGAATGCACAACAGTCACGTTGGCCGGCAAACGAAGGCAAAAACAGCCTCACCTCTCCCCATTTGCTCTCCTCATCCAGATGGACGACGATCTTCACGTGGCGGCCCTCCTTCCTCATCCCGCCCTCCCCGCCGTTATCGTCCAGCAGCATATCTGACAGGAACGAACACAGAGGAAGTTACGTTTGCTGGAAAGACAGAAAATTATTCAGGAACCCAGCTAAATTTCCGTAAAATAAAAGAAAAAAGTAAATAAAAAGAAGAAAAAATGGCTCAGATCACATGATCTGAGCCATTCCCGGCACTGCTGTGTACCGTCTTACCCAGACTGGTGGACTCGCTGGTGGTGAGGTTCAGGCTGTGCTGAGAGAGGCCTGGGCCGGGTCCCGGGGTCTGGCTGTGTGTGTGGGGGGGAGGTGAGGAGGAGATGGAGGCCTGAGAGCCCATTCTGCTGCCCTGAGTCTCAACCTTCAGACGGTCATTTTCCACCTTCAGCTTCTCGATCTCCAGCTACCGGCAAAAAAACACGAGTGGCCCGGGTCAGCCTCTACTCAATCCGAATCCAATTCCCAATCTCCAACGCTCCAAAAATCCTGCTTGAATGCTGAAATGCCCTGGGCTGAGCGGCGTGTGTCTGCTGACCTGCATGCGGTTCATGGCCTCCCGGAGCTGGTCCAGCTGGTGGGCCGAGCTCAGGGCCTCCAGCCGGATGTCGGTCAGCTTCATCTCCTTCTCCCTCAGCTCGCTCCGCAGCTGCATCACCGTCTCCGCCTCGCTATCCAAGCACTCCGACAGCCTGCCCACACACACACACACACACACACACACACACGGAGGGATGAGGCACGGAAGCAGCGCGTCATGGTAAAGCAAACCCGGAGCGGCTGGACGGTCCTCACAGCGAGTTGGAGTGCGTGTTCCTGAGCAGGTGGGCGCCGGCGGGGGCGCCGTTGTGGGGGAGTTTGGGGGAGGACGGCAGAGAGGAGTCGGTCATCTCCTCGATGTCCGAGTGGGACGAGGCCGACTTGGGAGACTTCTTCTTGGTGAAGGCTTGTTTGAAGGAGCTTCGAAGCTGAGAACCAGAGCAAAAAGAAATCCAGTGAGCAGGGGAAGGGGACAGCGAGGAAGAGGAGGAGGAGGAAGGAGAGCCAGGGGAGGTGGCTGGGAAACGGAAGAAGAAGAAAAGCGCACGCAGGTCGTAGGGAGAAAAAAGAATTATTGTTGGATTGTCTTATGACTGACTTTGAGCTGAAGCTCCCCACCCAAATTTCTACCGTTATATGTCCAGTTGTCCTTTTACTTGTTCTGACTAAAGCAATGAGAAAATGGTCAGTGTTGACTCATATTCAGGCAGAACTGAATACTTCTGAGTTAAGCTATGACCTTATGAACCAGGGGCCATTTTCACCTCTTAAACTAAAACTATCATCCAAATCTAAAGTACTTTCAGGTGGGGGGAAAATCAAAGCCCCTTTCTTTTTTTGTGTTTCAGTAATGAGGAGAAACCTCCTCCATTTCTAGTGCTTTTCCTTGAACAAGCCAGCTCAAGTGTCATAAGAGCAGTACTCAGGGAGGGGGAGGAGAGGAGAGGAGGGGGGAGGATAAGAGAGGAGAGGAGAGGAAAGGCACTACGGTGAGGGAGAGGCAGAGGGAGGAGCAGAAAAAGGTTAGTAGCCTACAAAAAGGTGCAGGGATGTTAGGCGCCCGCGTTCTCTTTCATTTCACACAGCATCCCCTCTTACCTCATAAACCTGCCACATGAAGCGAAGCACAGGAAGACAGAGAGACAAAACAGCACACGTTCATATGGGGGCTCGGATGAGTCAATGCCTCACGGAAGCACGGAGATTAAACCCGACCCCCCCGAGAGCCGATCTGACCTCCATACAGCTGCCAGCTAATTCTACATCACAACCACCGTGAAAGGGAGGCTCCTTCCTGAGCCGGTTTACAGGGTCCAACACCCCTATGCCCTACAGCAGGGTGGGGGGGCCCCGCATACAGGAGCCTCATCAGTTTATCATCACTATGAGCTAAGGCAAGAAACTACTCGACAAAAGAGCTCCCCTAAAACTCTAACCTATCTGGGTAAAACCTTATCGGGAGGGGGGGGGGTGACAGATTCAGTCTAGGGGGAGAAAATGAAAGAAAATTGCGTACTTCGTCGTCTATGACTTGTCCTCCGGTGCACAAAAACGTCTTTCAAAACACAAGAAAAGTTATTAACTCAAGAAAACAAAAAAAGGGGATTTTATTTCTGAACTAGCAAAAAAAAAAAAACTAGTGTAAAGGCTATTTATCTAAAAATTACCAATATTGGAACAACCATATGAAATCTGGTGCTATTTTCTATTTTTCTAGGACAGTGTATTCACCTTTTCCCCCGCGAGAGACGGCTGAAGAGGAAAAAAACCCAAACATGTGACACATCGCACACAAGAATGAAGACAGGCAAACGCTGGCTCCTTCTCCCCCCCGGTCCCCCCGACACTCACCCAGTTCTTCTTGTTCTTCTTCTTGTTCTTGGCGTCGGCGTCCATGTTGGAGCCCACGCTGGAGTGGCTGGTGGCGCTGGCCACGCTGCTCACGCTGTCGGACGAGTGCTGGCGCCGGATGCGCAGGTCCGGCTGGTGCTGCTGGTTCTGCTGCTGCTGGTTCTGGTGCTGGTTCTGGTGGTTCTGCTGGTGCTGCTGCGGGCTGCCGTTGCTTCCTGCTGACGACGCACAAAAACAGTCCCAAAACAACCTTGGAATCAGCCGGAGTCAGCTCGACCCCGGCTGTGGGAGATATGTGGCTCACAGATATCACGTTTTGTGTAAAAGCAATCACAGAACTCCCCCTCAGGACTTCCCACCCAGTTTCCCAGCCAATGAGAGCCGGACCTACCCGTCCGCTGGCCTTTGGGTGCCAGCTCGGGCGTGTTGATGACCCCGTTGATGGCGGCCTGGGCCACCGCGTTCTGCTTCTTCAGCAGCTCGATGGTCTTCCGCAGCTCGTTCAGCTCAGAGTCCTTCGCACAGGGGGGGGGGGGGGGACAAGAGGGTCAGTCCGACTGCTGACCGGAGGCCGGGCGGCGCGCGGTCAGCGGAGAATCGCCAGAGAGCGGCGTGTACCTTCTGCTCGGCCGTCAGCGTGAGACTCTTCAGCCTGATGGTCATGTTGCCCAGGCTCTGCTCGAAGGCCGCCACCAGGTGGGCCTGCGGGGGGAGAACAAGGGTCAGGCTTCCCTGGGGGGTTTGAGGATAAAGAAGCCGGCCGGAGGCTAGCTGAGGAAGCCGGACCAGTAACAGCACGCCGGCCGTGGAGAGACGGAGGATGTGGGGGAGACCAAAACAGTCTGAGTCAGCGGCATCAGCCGCTCTGACCTCGGGCCCTGAGTCACCCTCAGTCCCAAATAAACACGAATAAACACGGCGAAACCCAGAAAACAAGCACCCAATCGCACCCTGGTAATGATTATCCTCCAGATAACAGAGACAGACAGGCCCCAGAGACAGAGCCTTTGATCCAACAACCAAGGCCGGCCCAACGTGTTCTGGAAGGCCCGGACTATCACCAGGGAGCTCCAGCTCTTCTTCTAAAGCTCAGACGCCGGCGTGCTGGTGGACGGGGGGCAGAGGAGCCCGGCTGGGTCCCACAGAGGCGTCGGCCGGCGTGTGAAATCAAGTCCAGATATTTCGCAACCCAAGACGTGCTTAACTTCTCGGCCCTGGGGCGTCAAGGCGTGTCGAGATAAATCATCTTTTTGCGTCATGTAATCAAATATTCCGGCAAAGCCCCCCCCCCACACCTCCCGCGCCTTTTCTTTTATCAGCGTTTCAACACCTTTGCCATGCCTGGTTGCATTCAGGAGCCGTAAATCTTCGGTCCACATCTGGGGCAGTCCCTCAGACCTGAGCTGCAGCTGTAACGCAACACCTCCGCCTTCCTGCCACATCTCTAATCCACGGTTAAAAAAGGCCAGCAGCAGATTACAACCGGAGCGTGGCAGGACTTGTTCAACCCAGAGAATGGGGGGGTTTAGGCAGAACCTATCGTGTCAAGAGATGCTTTAAGAGGTTTTCTGATGGCTATGCCAGTTGGGAAATGATCCCCTCTGAGATTAAAGAGCCCAGGGAGAGTGCCAAAGTTTATAGGGATATTTCTAACTTGAGTTTGCCTTTAACTCTGAAATGGTAACATGAGTTTTTCACTCAAATTTTTCATATTTTTCTTACTGGATTAAAAAAAATATGAATTTGGTTTAAGCTTGAACAAAATGTCCAAAATTCACAAATTTAAAAAATAGTTTTTTTTAAACAGAGATATTAGTGATGGATTTTTAGGGCCCGAGACGTGATGCTGATGGAGGGTTTTCTACTTACATTGGCACTCAGCTGGGTTGTGAGGGCGGAAACCTTCTCCTGGGAGGCGTCCAGCTCCCGCCGCAGCTTACGGATCTGCAAACGCACAACACATCCGGACATAAAGGGGGGGAAAAAAGGGGGGGTAGGCTCCTGAACGGGAGCTTTTGATACATTTAGGTTAAGAGATGAGAGGGCGCGGAGGACTGAAGCGCATACAGGTGTACACAGGTGTTCAGAGCGGAACAAGGGCCCGGGACGGGGTCAGCCCCTCAACAGTTACAGGTGTAACCCGACACGACGGGGGAAAAACACTCCCATGTTTCAACAAGTCCAGCCACGGAACATGGAAAATGAAAGAGGACACAAGTGCCGTGGGCGGGCCGATGCTTACCTCCGACTGAGACTTCTCCTCGTTCTGCAAAACAACAGAAGAAGAGGGAAAATCATTAGGTGACAGACTGACTGGATTCCGAGAAGCTTTAATGAAAAAGCGGAGCTGCCGGGGAAATAAGCGCACACGTCCAGAGCTCTGTCTGGTGCCTGTTCGGCTCTGGGGAGAGGAGCTTGTGGAGGACACTGGGTGGGTGTAATGTGTCTGGGAAGCGGAGCTATCCTCCTGGAGGCATTTCACTGTGTGTGTGTGCTCATTGTCCTGGTCGGCGGCGCACGGAAAACAATGAAAAGACGGAGAGGTGAATGCACAGGCGGAGTTGGAGCACGCAAAAAAAAACAACACACGCTCGCACGAAAAACACCAGCCTGCTGCTTTGCACCCAAACAGAGAAGCGTGCGATGCCCTCATTTACGTGCAAACGGGCCGAGGCCATCGGCTGTCCGGACACGCGCTGCCAAACCTCAGAGGTGACTTTCACCCCTTTAGGAGGATTTCGAGGAATAAAGACGACCTGTGCGTCAGCGTGGAAAAGCATGAGCCGGCCCCGGCCCAGGGCCTTCACAATGCCCTGCAGCCAAGTGGAACGGTCGGTAAGACCTGAAACTGGTTTTGACAGTCTCACAATGCGGTTTGCAAAGCAGCCGCTCAC